CGATCAGCACTCGTGCTTCCTGCGCGGCATGCGACTCTACTGCAGGCACGATTACGCCTTGTAAGTGCAAACATATTTGCATGCCGAGTTTACCCTCATTTCTCTCTCTGACGCCTCTCGCCGGCCGGAGAGTCGCATTCACGGCAAGCGGTTCGATTAGAATCACGGTTGCCACCTCTATGGTTTTCGGTCGGAGTCTCCGACTTTGAAGTTCGAATCTCTCATGGTTTTTCGGTATATAGAAAAAAAATCGCCAATTAGCTGCTCTAAATTTTAATATTCTTTCTTCAATTTTCTTTCGATTTGAAAAGAAATTTGCGACAGCATGGTGGTTATCTTTGATTGTAAGGTCTGATTTGATAATCTTTTTTTTTCTTTAGTTTAGAGATAACACAGGATACTACAAAAAAGTGACAATAACGATTGGTGATAATTAAAATCTGGAGTAGATGTATAATGATACATAAAGTAACGTTTATTTAATAATTATCAATATATTTAAGCAAATTATTAATGTAGAATTTTGTATGGGAATACAAACTTTCGATACGTTTAGCAATAAGAATTAATGTTGACAAACACATTAATATGTAACGCCAATATTTTATCAAGTAATCTGGCACAACTTTCTGATATCATACGTTTTATAATAATGCAGATAAATAAAATTTATTTTAGCATGACACACACACACACACACACACACACAAACACACAATTGCAACCCATCTATAAATCCGTTATATTTATCTTCAATGGAGATCCTTATCTGCGATGATGAGTATCACCGATGACCGCCAGAAAAAGGGAAAATCGTTGAATTGTTAATATCACTATCAACTGTTCGTGCATGCATTTTTAATTAACTTTTATACTTAGTGACTTAGGCCTGTATAGTGTCGATTCTTATATTTAACATCATCTTAAGTACAGTCTTAAGATGTCATGAACCAATCAGAAAGCTACATTAGCATCTTAAGACATTACTTAAGATGGTCTTAAGAACTAAGGCCGATATTCATATAGTTAATTCTTGTAATTTAAAACTGTCTTATATATAATCTTAAGATGTTATATAGGTAACCAATTAGAGAGCGGTATTTATAGTCCGTTCTTATTTTAAAATTGTCTTAAATAATGTCTTAAGATGCTAATATAGCCTTCAGATTGATTCATGACTTGAGCTTAAGACTGTAGTTAAGATCTTAAATATAAGAATCGACCTATGAATATCAGCCATTTAAAACTCGAACGTATAATTATCTTTTAACAATCGATTTCCGGCAGAAGGACCGTTGAGCTTTAGCAGAACAAGTCAAGTCGCAATCGTGATTAGAATCTGCGCCCGGAAATCTATCCTAGATTCTGGACGCAGACGTCGCCTGATATCTCATTCGATGTACTGTCCGTTCGATCCGCGGGGGGTGAAAGGAGGAAGAGGGTTAACTTGTCCTCCGTGCACGGATCCGCATTCCGTGTATTGCTATCGCGAAACGAGGGAGAGGAAAGAATGGGAGGGAAGGAAAGAATTATTGGATGTTATCGATGAGCCTACTAATAATATCCCGCTTTGTCGAGGGCAACTTACTCGGATGCTTCGATGACGCGATTCGAGATCGAGTCGGCCCAAAGCCTGGCTTAAGAGGACGCGACTCGGCTACCGTGATCGCGCGACTCTCCACCCTGTTACTGCCGCTTGCCAAGAGAGAGAATTATCACATAAAAAGCTCGAACCCGGTCGATTCCCGTTTATTCTCTTCGTCGAAAATTCGGCGGTCGAGTATCATCGAAATATTCAGTCTCACGCCGTTGATCCTTTAACCCCCTGCATAGTCACTTAATTATGTTTTTATGGTATAAACGATTATTTGATTTATATGTATTTTTGACATCCTAGTTAAAAGCTAATCTATACAATGAGCTTTGCTTCCTGTTTCTCGTTTCTTATAATATATATATAATATATAATATATATAATATATTATATAATATATATATTTTTCCTGTTGCCTTTTCGCCTTCTATTTTTAGCGTTTTCAGGAGATTGAGTTTGAATCCTGGCTGGGGATCCATAATAAATATTTTTCATAATAAATTATTTATAGTTTTTAAGATGCTTATTAGTATCAACTATTAACAGCTTTCTAAGATGCTTATTTGCAGCAATAATATTAAATTGCTTGTCAATTTAATTTGCAATCTTATTACTCCAGTTAGTTTAGAATGATTTAGGAACTGACAAATAATATCGGTGCCCAGTTAGTTTGAAATTGTATAAATTTACAAGAAATACTATTAGGTAAAAGTATTAAGAAATATTAATTATTAGGCTGAAGAACTTAATTCGCTTTGACCAAATATGACATTTTTCACTTACATGTGTTTAATCTAATTGGTCAATTTTTATTTTATTGTTTTTTTTATAATCTTTGTTACAAAAATTTTAAAAATTTAATTGTTTCTCGTTGTCAAAATTTAGGAGAAGTTGCAAGCTTTTCCTTTTGTTTTCCTTGCGTACGTCTATGATTCCGTTTCTTCGTTTTGTTGCTAGATCTAAAAGTTGATGAACTTCAAAAGAGATAAAAAACACAAGAAATATAACTGTCGATAAAATAATCGCAAAGAGATAAAAAGCAAGAAACAAGAAGCAAAAAGTACATTGTAGATCAGCTTTGAAAGTCACTATTATTAATTACATATTATTAATTATTGTACACAATTTATTAGTACCTAAGTCATTATGTATATAGACGTACTTGATATTTTCCAAAGAAAAGTAAGGAGAAATAAAAAAAATGCGTATAAATTCTTGACTTGGGTATCGGTTATGTAACTTGTTTCTGAGAGCAAAAACGTGACAAGTAAAAAATTTTTTCATAATCTCAATAATAAAAATTCTCACTTTTCATGTTTCCATGTTTTCCACCCTAAGGAAAAAGTTACATAATAATATTTCAGTAAAGAAAACTGCTGTTATAAAGATACTGAGGTTTCTTGTTGCTAAAGTGTAAAAATCACATCGTAGGTGACTAAGGTGATTATTCCCGAGTTAAGGATTCTTTGTTCTTCGCGCGAAACAAGCACACGGGACCATCGATCCGGTCGATCGCGCGAATCGTATCCCCGAGTCACGTGGCTCTGACCGCGCGTGTTGGCTATACGGATGTGGTATTTCTACATCGATAGACATCCATAAGCGCGCGTATTGGGTGTCCGAGATGTGCGCTCGCGAGAGAGTCGCCATTGGGTGATTAATGTCTTCCAATGTAGTCTGCCTCTCCTCGTCTCTTCTTCTTCCTCCTCCTCCCTCTCTGCCCGCGCGGACCTCACGTATAGTCGGCTATTCACGTCACCGTGCATTCGTGTATCACGCATGCTCACGCACAGCACGAGCTGCGGAGTCACGTTGACGTCTCGACGTCTCACTGTCTCGCGCGCGCACGCGGCGAGAACGCCGCGGAAAAAAAAATAAATACCCTTGTCCTGAGAATCCTGAGATATTCTTTCGCGAGATCCTCTCGCTTCGGCTTTTACGCCTACTCTCCAGAGAGAGCCTCCGCGTCATTTTTACCCTCCCCTAAGACGCCGCGTAATCCGTTTATATACCTTAGACGTATCTTTCGTTACGCGATACTCACGAAGCATTTCTCAAGTTCTGTCCCGGGTGATGCAGAGAGAACGAGAGAGATAAAAGAGAGAGGGCTCGAAAGGTCCGACGATACGAAAAATAACATGCTAGGATGTGTACGATATAGCTGGCGGGGAAGGAATTGCCCGGCTATCATTAATTTATCAATGTCCCGAAAGCGGGTTACTTCGCGCTTCGTGATTCCGTATACCAAATATACGCGTACGTGTATGTGGGTGCCGAGTCACTCGAGATGGGACTGCCTAGTGTCAGTGTTCCGGAGGACTGAGGAATTCGCCTCGTAAGGCACCGAAGCCAGCTGCGATCCTCGAACCGTTCCTTCTTCCCGCCTTCATCCGAGTGCGAGCCAGCGCGGTACTTCTTTTCTTCCAGGTGAGCGAGGGAGCGGAGAGAGAGAGAGAGAGGGGGGGGGGGAGAAGAGTGAGAGAGAAATAGAGTGGTCTTTGAAATTAATAAATATTCACCCGACCCCCGGGGCCCATGCGTCCCCTATTCCTCGACGTCCAGGGCCTCCCAATCCTTTCCCCGCTTTCGTCGCTTTCGTACGTTTCGACCGAAAAAAGAAGAGCTCAGATGTCGAAGTGATTCGTGGCCCTGTATGCGGCAAAAATCGCTCTATTAGCGATTTCTCTCGGCGAAGCCCGTGAGATTCCGGTTTTTTCGAATCGGTACAATCAGCGTAGAAGCGACTCGCATCGTCCAACACGACATCGGGACCACCTGTCGTCGTAATCGCGGTGTTATCTTCTTCACCTTGCCGCCACTTAAGGCCGCATACCTCGCGACTGCCGGGACACTCGAGACATAAGCAAATGATCGCAGTTCTTTGAGTTGAGTTCCAAACATCCGTGGAATAACACGTTATATATATATATATATATATATATATATATATATTGGAGCAATAACTTTACGCAACTATCGTTTTTCTTCGGTATCTATCGTTTACCAGAAATATTCGTACAGCAAAGTTTGTAGCAACATTGCTGCAAGGTTTGCAATGTTATCGCACAATATTGTTGGAACGTTTCAGTGTTGCTGCAATATTACTGGAAGATCGTAATGTTATTGAAAACATTACTGGGACGTTGCAATGTTCCTGTATTATTACTGGACTGATCTATGGAATGTTATTGCAATATATATATATTACTGAAATGATCTGTGCTGTATGGGATACTATATAAGGATTGCTGTGTAAATTATGATTAGCTGTTCTACGCTACCGAGACGCAATTAACTTGGATCGGTACCGATGTGTACTTCGCTATTCTCAATCCTCAATCGCAATTCGTACGCCGGTGGGGTTCGATCATGCTCTCGCAAACGTCTCATACCAGCGAGCGCCCAACTTAATCCCCCGTTGACTTATAGGGCCCGCCTATGTGGAAGAACAAATGAATAAATTAGGGCGGGGCCGTTTGGTAGCCGACGCGCGCGTACGGCCCTGAAGATTTATAGATACCCAATACCAGTTCTCTCGTCGCCGCCGGATACACAGGATCCCCTCGTCGCTCTCTTGCCCTCCTCGGTGCGTTAAGTCTTGACTTTTCTGGGGTATGAAACCGATAGAAACTTGGACATGGGGAGAACAGCGAGCGCTACTATTTATCTGAGGCGACACTCATCAAATGACACATCCATTTCCACGATGGAAGATCTTGTCAGGAAATTTTTTCAGTTGCTGTGGTCGTCAAAAAAAAGCAGCTTTGCAACTGTTGTAAGATTCTTTAATATAGTTGGCTCTTACTTTTAGTTCCTCACTGGATTTAAATATATAAAAAAAACAGAAGAAAGCAAAAAACAGTATTACTAATTGCAAAATACAAAATTAGTATAGTAGACTAATTGCTGAACATGGCTAAAAAATTAGCCGAAATATATGCACATGATAATGTAATGTTATGAATATATTCAAGTCTTATTTATATTGTATTGCGCAATTTTAACAGCGTGAATTCCTAGCAGTCTGTTTTTTTATTCATTTCAGGAATTTGATTATCTTATAATTTTTAAATGTATAAACTAATTATATGAAAGAATTTTAGAACATTGTAAAATTGATTTTTCTTGAATGCAGCCAGATAGAGATGTGATATCATCAAACTCACTTCTTTCAGGAACACACAGGAAGGTTCCTTGAATGAAAGAGAACGTGTTAACAATAACAAATAGGCGCTAACTTCAAATCAGTCGAAATAATCGAGATTAATGTTATTCAAGATTTGTAATTCTAGATTTGAGTTTGACGTGTATCACACCTATTATCTTCTTTTTTTATTATACTTCTATTAAGAAAAAGAAGAGTAACGATGTAAGAAGATCTGTAACTATAGTACATAATGACGGTTAAATTGATTTAGGACCAATTTTTAATTTTTTAATGACTTTATATTGGTTTTTAAGATTTTCAGCCAATTTCTGATTGATTACATTTGAATTTGGTTGCATTTATTAGGTGTTGGAATTAATTCGTAGCGTTTTTTAATGAAAGAATGTTATTTATTTCACATGAGCATTAAAAAATACATTAATGAAAGTACTTCCCATCACTTGTAAAACGCTACGAATTAATTCCAACACCTAATAATTTTGCCAATTTCTATTGATTACATTTGATATTGCGCATCCGGGAATATTACATTTTAATAGATTTGAATATCAGTATATTAAATTAATATCTACCAAAAATAAAAATTAGAGCAAAATATAACGTAAGGGGAGAGTGACAGAAACATAAATAAAGCTTCTAGCTGGCGAAAATGAGAGTACAAAATGTAAAGGAAATGTTTTTACGCTTTTACATTTTTACAACTCCCTTCAACTTACTCTATGACTATATTACTTTTATTTTCTCTAGGGCACAATTATAAATCTTGTACATTGATATTGATCTTCTCGTTTACTTCGATGAATTTTCTCTAAACTAGAAAATAAACGGTCAAAAAAGGATGGATCATAGAGCGATCGCTGGTGATCGGTACAAACTAGCTCCTAGGCGTGCCCTTTGCGCGATCACCATAACCAATAATATCCCCTCCCCGAAAACATCGCGTCATGCGACGATGACTATGCAGACGCAAAGACTAATCCTTCCATGAGCTTACCATATTTTTCCATACAATAACGCCATGGTCGATCGGTCGTTGATGCATTCTTCTACTTCTTCTTCTGCTTCGTCTCTATGCTCTTCCTCTTGCTTCTCTTTTCTTTTTTCTTTTTCTCTTCCTTTTTCTTTCCTTCTTTCCTATATGTCTGTGCTTCTTATTGATCCTTTTTCTTTTCTTCCATTTCGTTCCTCCTTCTTCCGTTCGTTCTTCTTTTCTTCTTTTGCTTATACTCCCGTATGCATAACCTCTGCTGAATTTCATGTTTTAGTTTTCTTCGCGCTGCTCTATCATTGTCCCCAGTAATAATAATAATTTCTTTATCTTTCTTCGATCTCTTTTCTCGGGTTCTCTTTTAACACTAGATTCTCTTCTCACATCTCGTCGGCATGGATTCAAAGAAATCGAGCCATTTGTATAGGGTCGGAAGCCGCACAACTGAGACATCGAAATAATCTCGACGTAATCTACTCCTCGAATCGCGATACTGATCCTTAAACCGAGGTGGCTCCGATACCTCGTCGCATCGCGTCAGGAGGACACCGAGTGGCTGAGTAATATGTTAATGAGGACAGGACTGCTGCCGGGTCCTCGCGTTCTCGGAGGTCTCGAATGAACCTGCCGTCGACGGGATAAAAATAGTATTTTCGGTCGGTGTCCGCACGACTGAATTCGATATGCATTGCGAGAGAACCGCGTTTATTGCCGAGTCCATTCGTAGCCGCGCGCCAAAAAAGAGAGGCTCGCATGAATCAATGAACGATGAATGACGGTAAAGTGGGTGATAAATGGGCAGTACACCGGTACATCGATCGGCCGAGCCGACTCCCTTTGTCATTGATTACGCACGTCGATTAACTTTTTTAACACTCGCGCACGTTCGAAAGTTGATGGCGACTTTGTCACGTGCGGCTTTCACATGGGAGAAATCCCTATCGTTTGCGTTTTTTGCAGAACATTCGGCGCGAAATGCGCGAAATGCGGGCGCAGTGTGGGCGCTGGGGATTGGGTGAGGAGAGCTAAAGACCGAGTCTATCACTTGGCATGTTTCGCCTGTGATGCCTGCTCCCGTCAACTCTCCACGGGTGAGCAATTCGCGCTTCTGGACGCCCGACTGTTGTGCAAGGCCCATTATTTGGATGTGGTCGAAGGTAACAATACTTCGTCATCGGAGGATTGCGATTCCGAGCACGGTGGCAAAGGCAGCAAGACGAAACGCGTGAGGACGACCTTTACCGAGGAGCAGCTTGCAGTCCTGCAGGCTAACTTCCAGATGGACAGCAATCCCGACGGACAGGATCTTGAGAGGATAGCCCAGGTGACCGGCCTCAGCAAGAGGGTCACGCAAGTTTGGTTTCAGAATTCCAGGGCGAGACAGAAGAAGCACAGCGGCAAGATCAAGACTCAGAGTAAGTAATAATAAATTATACAAGACCGCTATACACTAGAATACACTAGAACATAATAATAGCGAAATAGTGCACAAAATTTTTTTTATATGCGCTTTACAACACATGTTAGGATGAGCATAAGTTAGCGATCTGTGAAATAATGGAGTACTCTGCACATGTGAATTTGACATGTGTTATATTTTCACACATGTCAAGCTAGTCTAAATTAACGAGCAAATTATAGGATGTTTTATTGGCTCAATGAACGATACTGTGTACGCTCTGATTGGCTCTTGGCAAAATCTCCTTTCCTCTGACCAATCAAATGTAGCAAAGGATCACATTGGATGTGGAAATAGACATATATATGTTTGATAATGTTTCAAAATCATTTGAATAGTGTTGTCGTTGTTTAAAGAAAAATACTAGAATGATAGATTTATAAGAACATATGAATGAATTCATAAATAAAAATAATATTTGACGAAGCTACATTCGTAATAAATAAATAATTGAAGAAAAACAAAATACATATGTATACTTGATTTATTTTTATTTATATATTTATTATTATTAAATGTATATAATAAAATGTACATAAATTTATTATTATTTAAATTTAGCTCTAACCGAATCCCGCACGTTGAAAAACTTACTTTGGCGGCTTTGAGTATGAATAGAGATTAGCGATAGAATAGAACTCTGAATTTTAAAAGTGAAGTGAAGACAACTTTATTGGCTATATTTAGAGAAAGCAGCACAACTATTATATAATTTTTTAATATGATTAGTTTATATATTTTGATTCAGTGAAAAACTAAGGATGAGACTTATCATATTAAACAATTTTAACAACAAGAAATTTAATATTAGCAAAGTTGTTTTCATTGCTAAATGCAGCCAATACTGTGCCAATACTATGCTATTATGAGATTTTAGTGTAAAAGAAGAAAGCGCCAAATACATTGAGGTATTTGTATGTATGTTTGTGTGTGTATGTGTTGTCTAATAATGATAATAACATTTCTATGTAAATTTTAAACATATCTTTCAATTATATAAACTGCGCGCCGATTATTGTTGAACTGAAAACGCAATCACAAACTAAAGCTGTAATAATAATAATGTCACAAATTAAATTGATCGTTGATTTGATAATGATGCTACTAGAACCTTAAAGTACTTATGTAAAGTTTTTACATAAGTCTCATTACGGATAATATCCCACGAGGATTCAAAACGCCTATTTTTGTGTGCTTGCAGTGCATCACTCGCCGCCGATGCACCATCACCCAGTCGACCTGTATTCCAGTGGCATCAACGTAGTCGGGGCTTATCTCGGAGGTTATCAGGCCAGCAATGCCGGTAGCGAGAGTCCAGGTAGCCCGTTAACGCCCCTTACACCTTTGACTCCGCTCACACCGACGACGCCGAATCATTTGCAGGCCCAATTCTGTCATCCCGCGGGATAAGTCAATATAAATATTTCCACGAAGCTATTGAAGGTATTAACCCTTCGCACTGCATGTGCTTTCAGCCGCCGTGATTACATAATTCGGAGATTTATACAAAAAATCGTAACAAGATTTTTACAAAATCGAAAGTGTCATATTTATTTTTTTCTTATATTCCGCACAAAAAATTAGATTAAAAGTGTATAACGAGTGGACTAGATTCAATTAACAACTACATATGAGTTTTTAAAGCGAATTAATTTGTATATATATTTCTCAAGATGTAAAATAAGCGCGCGTTATCGTTAATATAATATGTAACGTATAAAAGGTACAAGTTTTTCATATTTAAAATTAGACTAAGCTTATTTATTCCGAGCGTGTAAAACAATATGCATCCGTCTGCGAGGGTGAATAAAATTTCTTAGACGATGCAAAATGAAAGAGTGACTAAAGTGTCTCATCCATTTTTCGAAGTTTTGACGTAGATATTTAACTCATAATACGAAATTGTATATAGAGCGAATTGTAGTTTTTGTACATATGTCTTCTGTAGGTAGATATAGGAATATTGGTGTGTGTGTGTGTGTGTGTGTGTGTGTGTGTGTAAAAGAGAGAGAAAGAGAGAGAGAGGCATGATGAAGACCAGAACTTGATATCGCATACTTGTCGCTGCAATATTATAAAATAAACCGTATTGTTATTAATAAAACGCCTTTTATTGTTAATGGCTGCAATTATTATCCTTCAATTATTGCTCGCTTCTTCGATTACAAATGCCACAGATAATTCAAAAGAATATCGCACGGGAAATATCGGGAGGGAGAATAAGTTGGATTGATCAAGAAACAAAGGCCATCCTTTTTTGTTCAACGTGTGCAATCGCATATATTTATATACGTTTAGTTTACAATATTTACATCACAGGACATTCATATTGAATGATTTTACATGACTATTGAGATTACTATGAAAGATACTTTCATTTCAAGCATTGCTACGCGACGCGAACGAAAATTCCGTCGACGACGCGACGGCGATTACGCCTCCGTGATGACGTTCAGGGCACTTATTATGTAATTGTTCGCGATTCCGCTCAGAATTGCAAGTTTTAGACTCGCGAATTTTGAGAAAAATGTTAAGCGTCATAGCGATAGAATAATAAATAATGTAAGTAAAAAAAATGATATTTCTTTTCTAATTTTATAATAAAAAAGATAAAAAAATATGTAAAAAAATAAAATTATAACGTATAATAATAAAGTAAAATAATTATGTGTCAATCTTCAATCTTAAATATAATAGTTCTTACGTAAATAAATGACAAGTTAATTTTCATCATATAATTTTGTTTAACCTGCTAATAATAATATTACATTAAGTAATATTATATATTATTTACTAATACACATTAATAACATAATAATTTAATCTGCAACATGCTGTCACTATTTAATATAATAAAAATTATTATATATATTTAACATTAAGAGTTAATAAACTTTTAATAAACTTTTTCAAATAACATATTTAAAATTGGAATTTTTCGATCATTTTGAATACAATTCGAATGTCTATGGAATAGATCAAGTGACGAGAAACGGAATCATTCCGAACGGAATCATTTCCAAATAGATTCATAATAGGTGTCCTACGTATCCGCCTCTCTTTTATGCCTATGTTCGCTTTAAAGGCTTCGTTAAAGCGATTCCCTCCTGGTTGCATCAGGCACCGATACGAAAGAAAGAATAGAGAGACGAACGAGAAAGAGGTACAAAATCACAATTCACACACAACCAAGAAAGAGGTAGGCAGATAGATCGATTCAAAATTGCAGACAAAGTTACGCACGCATACGCACGCACACGCACACATACATGCACACAAACACATTGCACATACACACACATACACACATATACACGCACACGCGAGCGCGAATTCACGCGTGCGTACATATCATTTCGCATGTAACACAGAACAATACTGGTTCCAGTAAGATTCAACACCGAGAGCGCAAGATATATGTTGCGAGTGTAACTCGAAAGTGCGTCATCGAAGAGCGCGACGATTGAATTTTTCACTTTTCTTGGATAAATAAAACGATAACCGAGCATTGAATGGTGCTTCCTCGACCTCTACCTTCTGACGCTTTTTCGAAGCAACGCCGAGTATTTACAATATAATTGAAATCGCCATTAAACCTCATTCGGCATAGATAGTAGCATCGAGTCTTGCGAGAGCTCGTCCATCGATTGCTCCGACCCTGAGAACAGAGTTAATGGAATCGCAATTACATGTAAATGTACGATCTCGTCCAATCTCTAATTGATTGTCGAATTTTCCCAATCTGAAGTCTTTGATCGCAGTAAGAATCTTTCATGAAGTTCCCCGACACGCAGGGATATTGCGAACGATCTCTTACCATGATTGTGATAAATGGAGCCTGTCGGGCTCTTACACGTGGCTGGGCTAAGCTGCGGTTGTTGTTGCTGTTGATGCTGTTGCTGATGTTGAAACGAGTACGTTAGATGCAGGTTGATGTGACGACCGAAATCGTTGGGCGACGCGGTAGAATTCGGTGGCGATTGGTGCACTGCAAAAATTCATTCCACCGATGTTGATAATTAAAGTTATTACCTATCGATTGCATATAATCGCGACGACACTTTGTGGAAATAGAGATCGTGCTGCTTGCACTTACGCTGTTACGTTCGAAATCTTTACTTTCTCTTTCTTTAAAATCGGAATATATATTTGTCTCGTATTAAGCGCAATTTTTGGGAATTTCAAGCAATATAAGCAAATTAATGGAATGATTCGATGTTTCGCTTACCGTGTTGTCCCTTCATTTTGCCAGTGTGAAGGTGTTTCTTCTGCCTTGCTCTAGAATTTTGGAACCACACCTGCGTTATCCTCTTGCTGAGTCCAGTTACATGCGCTATCCTTTCAAGGTCCTGCCCATCGGGATTACTGTCCAATTGAAAATTCGCCTGGAGAACGGAGAGTTGCTCCTCGGTAAAAGTGGTCCTAACTCTCTTCGCTTTATTGCCGCCCTTGTGACCACTCTCGGAGTCACCGCCTTCTGCGAAAGTACCAATTAGCCGTATCTACCTTCCACACCATTACGCGATCTATCTCAATCGGTGCGCGTTTTATACAGCAAAATAAAGGATCGCCAACAGTATATTTTTAACCATGGAATTTTTAATCATAGTATAGAACGCTATCGTAAGTTTGATACGTAAGTGAGCAAGATCACAGGGGGTTAAATTATGCCTTCAATAGTCAGCAAGATTGAGAATTTGATAATATGTTTATTTCTATTTTTCCTTTTTGATGATCGGAGCTTTCTAAAATAACTTATGAAAGATCTTATTCTCTAAAGATTTTTGGGATCGTTGACTTTAATTCTGGTCTCAGAATTGCAAAATTAAAATTAAAATTAAAAGAAAACGAGGAAATAATTTTTATAAAAATTGAACAAATAGTTTATAAAAGAGAGTGATCCCAAACAGGGTCGCCGGTCCATAAAGGATTCAGTAAATAATAAAATTATTTATTGTAGTTTTCAAAGATCTAGATTATAAATATTTCGTTATTAAAAGTAATTGAAATGTATCAAAATCTTGTGTTATTAGCAATACTGTATCATTCAATATCGATAGCATTCTAGAGTTAATCAAATTAATTTAACTGTTACAACAAATACTTGAAGAAGATTACTTGATGGCGTTAAAGAATAAATTTAACAAAGGGCGTTTTACTTTTACCCGCAACAATTAGAAGATTTTATGTTTCTTCTTATATATTTTTCAAATCGGATCGTTTTCACAATATTTATTTTACGTTAACTACGTCTTCGCGCGTGCAACAATGACTCGTTTGTGCGACATTCTCACCAGCGGAAGAGTTGTTGTTGCCCTCGACGACGTCGAGATAGTGCGCCTTGCAAAGCAATCGGGCGTCCAGGAGGGCGAATTGCTCACCGGTCGACAGCTGACGCGAACAAGCGTCGCATGCGAAGCAGGCCAGATGATAAACCCTTTCCCTGGCCCTTCTCACCCAATCCCCAGCGCCCACGCTGCGCCCGCATTTCGCGCACTTTGCTCCAAAAGTTCTGCAAAATACGAGAAGCGTAACTCGTACTCGTGTTAACTGCGTAAACTGCCGCCAAGCGTATATCATTTATAAGTGTTGGTATACGTATCGTGGTGTGTCTCGGATTTATTTTGCGAATATACATTATAACGACAGCCAATATAGCCGGACTCGTTCGACATTCGATTGAACGAGTACACGAGCGGGGTGTAATGATAACCGCTCGAATATATCTCGGTGGAGAAGGAGAAGAAGAAACGAAGGCCGACGGGCGGTAGCTTGAGAGAAGAGGAAGAAAAGAGACTTTAGAGAAGAGATATTCGTGTCGAGGAGCAAGTGGTCTCCATCGGCGCGTGTTTCGCGGCCGTTTATTTCTTCGACTTCGTTCGCTCGCTCTTCGTTCCTCCCACGAGCTTTGGAAAGGATCTGCGAGAGAAGTATCGCTCTCTTCGAGATACACCTTCGCGCCTTCCGGTCAATACCCGCGCGTATACCGGCGCGCTCGTAATTCGAAGCTCTTGCGTTTTAATTAACCCCCGGTTGTGCGCGCGCACGAGAAAACGATCGAAGAATTATACAATAGCCCTCATGCATTAATTCGTCGGAATTATACAGGTTGCGGTTGTTTGTACGCCGCACCGTCGAGATCCTCGCGGCGGAGTCGGCTGCGTGCCGCGATCTCTAATAAAGCGTATCGCATACTTGCATGTAGATCCGTCGGATCGATTCTAATAATATCAGCGCAGTATAAATGCGCGCGTTAAATCCGTGGGATAGAGCCCCGGACGCCGTAAACGGTAGCCGTGTACCATGCCTGTGGAGACACGGGCACGATCGGATGAATGGGGCGCGGATGAGGACTCGCGTTTACCGTAGGATGCGACCGTGAGGATGCTCAACGAGAGGATGCTTCGTTCCTTCGAAGTGGCACCCGTAGTGGGCCGTAGTCCTGCCGTACAGCAGCCGGCCCGTGTCGTTGGGAGTGTCGTGGTCGATAATTAAACAACGACCAGACGGCCCATTAGCCCATTATCATATTCATGAACACGGAAAGTGCATCCGATTCGATACCCCGCCCGAGTTCGTTCTTTCCCCTCCCCTCGTACTGCGCATTTATGTGGATTGTGTTTGCGAATGCCTGCGGCGTACATTGGTGCGCTTCGAATACCTTATGGGTTGCCACGCGACTATCCCGGTGGTCATCACCAATGCACTCTGTGTCTGTGGATGTTGTCGAAAAATCTCTCGCTCTGGATCGTAGCAGGATAGATCGTAGTAGGATGCGCTTCCGCACGCACCGAAGAAATAGCTTTATTCGCTTTGAGCTTATCGAAAGAGGCACGTGTGCCCTCCATCGCGATGCCTCCTCCTTGAAATCTTGTACGTTTATTTTTTGAATGCAGATAGAGAACAAAGAGAGTTAGAAACGCCATGTAGATCCTATCGTGCAACGTCTGGCGAGATTAAACTTTTCTGATCTGCCGATACACGCGCCTTAATCCCATTGTCCTTTTAAGAGAGGCACCTAATTCCTTGTCCTGGCGCTAAAGGTGATCTCCCGTCACGCCCACGTCGGAAGCTAGGGAAGGATTTGAATTTAGAGGGACTCTTGTTCGCGATTACGACACACGGTGTGTCACACAGCGTGCGATTTTCGAAGAGAGCGTATACGTAAAGAAAGGTTTTGCTGAAGTATCCATAATAATTTAGCTACAAAGGCAATTTGAAAACTTCGCGACTTAACAATGAAGTCAATTTTAGTATTCCCAAGGCTCCGGTCGAACGTGATCCTTGCACTGTGAATACAGGAGATCCGGGTTTTAATTCCGGCTGAGGTAATAATTTTCGCAATAAGTTCTTTATAGTTTTTAAGATGTTAGTAGTATCAAATTAACAATCTAATTAAATTTGGGAGGCTTAATATATATTTCGGATTGATTATGTTGAAAGTTCGAAAGCATAATCGAGGCGCAATTATTCTGAGATAAAAATTTATTTAAAATTTATTTAAAATTTAACAGTCTAACATCTAACTTTGATCGTAATTGTTTATTCGTATAAATGGTCCTGTTTTCAATCTTAATTTTATTTTAATATTACATATTATTCCTACAATTTTAGGTTTTAAATTGCTTTTAATTTTTCAATATTTATAACTATAATACACTTCATTTAGCGATGTTACAATGCGTTTACTTAATCACGGAAATCTATTTCTCGAAGTTCCTCAAAATAGCTGTTTACAATTATCAGTTTTCTTTATTATTTTAATATAAAGTTTTCTTTATATTATGTTGCATACAATGGTGCACTATCTCATACACACACACACACACACACACACACACACACACACACAATTTTCATTTCCTTAGGACTGCCGCACACAAAATTCCACAACAGTGACCGTAAGACATAAACTTAAGCCGACGAGCCAATCAGGATATTGCTTTAAAAAAAAAAATTTCTTGAAATAATAAATTTATCCATAATCTCAACCGATTGAAACTCGCCTTATGGATAAGTTTACTGCTATTTCTGTTAGATTACGTAGATCTAAAATAGTATCCTAATTGGCTTATCGCCTTAAGTTCGCGTCTTAAGGTTACTGATAAGCCTTGTCTACAATACTCGTACAAGCTGTGTCGCATGTCATATGAAATGTCACAGAAGTGTCGCATATAGTCGCATGATTGTCGTAGTCGCAAGAGCTCTTATCGTACGGAGTTGAGCCAACTTCAACTTTTTGCGACTGCGAAAGGCATGTAAGCGCATGAGCTCAGTCAATCACAGCACAGCAAGTTGACGTTTAGAATTTGTTGTCGAATTGCGTGCAAACTATCGTTGTGACTATTGTAGACGCTCATTTAGCTCTCTTAACTCTTGTGATTATTGTAGACGCTCATTTAACTCTTGCGGCATGCGATAAATTTTTCTGCGATGCTATTACTTGCGACATGCGACACAACCTGTGCGACTATTGTAGACGAGGCTTTACAGAAATTTTGTCTGTGGCAGCCTTTCAACATGTCTGTTTAACATGGGTATTTAACCGTTAAAAAAATTTAATCGTGGCACGATGTTTAATGTTATGTTTTACCATGAACGTCTACATATTATTTATATAAATTAACTTTTACAACAAATTATTTAACAGAACAAGTTCAAACTTTAAAATTATATATATATATATATAAGACAGACGTCTCTTTACCGTGTGCCAATATTTCAAATATATTACCACCATTTATGATTAGGCTACGAAGTTTTCAAATTGTCCTCATAAATACAAATCTAAAAATAATTTTATTAAACCATCAAAATAATTATGTAGAACATTTAAGTTGTTACAATATTGAACAATAAAAACAATAAAGTTAGTTGTAAAATATTAAATAAAGATAATAAAAAAAGATTAAATTTGAAGAATAAAAACGCTGCAATCTGCAGAACGCAAAATGAATGTAAAGTTTTAAAAATAATTTCAACAATAACATTTCTCTTTCAAATATGTTCATGAAATAAAAATAAAATCCACGAAATTAAAAATTGTTAAAACAAAATTCTTCGTTCTGATTCTTCGTTCAACAGCAAAGAAAAATAGAGTCAGCAAGAATAAATACAAGAATAAATATTGAGTGTTAACTTTCTATAACATTACTCATCAACCTACATTGTATTAATGATCCAACAAAATTATTTTCAAATCTGTATGATGTATCTAACTAAATTTTTAGATGTTCCAGCAAAATTGTTCTTTCCGTGAAAGGGAGCTACAATGTTGATGCGAGATGGAAGATAGACGCGAAGGCGAAGTGAAATCTTACGTCCGATACTTTACTCTGAAGATCCCGCTTGCTTGTATTTTTCTTTTTTTTTTTCTTGCCGTTTTGTCCATTATCGCGCGAGAGGAGACGGGACGGTTCTCTCGGAGGCGGTTGTCGGCGGCGGTTGTCGACGGGTCTACAGGGTCCACGGGTCGTGTCGGGATCCCGCCGACGATCGGGTCATCGAATGGCAGCGTTACCAGGCAGAAAGCACGAATCAAAAAAATTACGCGGCAGATTCCTTCGGACCTCCCGCATACTATCGGACCCGAGCGTCTCGCCCGAGTTAGCCAGCGTCGAAAACTCAGGACCGCTGTTGTGCAGTAATTAACGAGGATACCGTATTCAATTTGCACAGGCGAGAATGAAAATTAATTTATTTCGACGAGCGCACGATTTGTTCCCCCGCTCAACTCGCAGGAGTACTCCTGTTGCGCGATAACGCGTGTATGAATTTAATATGAAATCAAACGTCAGACGTTCGCCATCGCCAGATGTGGCGCGCAGCGATCGGATATCAGGACGGGCTCATGTCGGAGCTCGGTTGGTGTAAGAGACCCAGGTGACTGAAGTAACTGATTGACAGTTGGATAAACACATTGGGCAGGCTGCGCCCGAAGCCTTCCGTACAATCGACGAGTCACCGCGGGTTCCGTCGACTTTGATCTCCACGACCGTACGTCTTACATCGCTATCGATGCGCATCGCGCGGCAACAAAAATATTCCACTTATTCATTCAGCGATGCGAACAAAAAGAAGCGGCTATTTTCTCCCTCCATCTCTCTCTCTCTCTCTCTCTGTCTATTTCTCTCCATCCGCCTCGTTCTCTTTCTGTTGACACGTATAACTCATTGAGCCGATTTAATTGTCCAATCAAATCGCGCAACCAAAAATAGTAACGCGAGTATTATTTCAGGTGAAAGTACCAATCGATGGTCGACTTACCGATCGTAATCGTGCCTACAGTACACTCGCATGCCTCTCTGGAAGCACGAGTGCTGATCGTGCAATGGCCTGGCACAAGCGCTACACCTCAGACACCTGGAGTGCCACGTACGTCCGCCTACGCAAAGGATAGTTCGTTCGCGTACTCGCTCGCCGCATCCACCGCACTCCATTACGCTCGGCGATGTTTCCGGGCCGACAACCAGCCCGCTGGTACCCTCAGGACAAGCGAGGTTGGGACCGCCGACGCCGCTGTCGCATGCACCATCGCCACTCGTGTCCTCGACTTCCGTCTGTGTATACAACAAAACAGCAAAATCCAAATTTAGTCTGTAAACACGATCCGAAAGCTTCCACAAACATTCCGCAAATTCCGTAAGAACGTCAAAAACATATTAACTCTAAATTATTTGCGTGGATTGTTTGGTGGGTAATTATGTATACCTGCGTGTGGGATATCTATATTATTTCTCAATTTTAGATTTATTATCATTTACACACATTTTATACTGGTATTTAAGGCCGATATTCATAAATTATATTAAGTACAATTTTGAGACATCTTAAGCTAATCAAAGAGTTGTATTAGCACCTTAAGACAGTTTTAAAATAATTGGCTGATATTTGTATAGTCGATTTTTGTATTTAACAAATATCTAATTAGATTCAATCTCTATATGTGTAATGAATAAATCTGAATAAAGTAAAATGTCTTTTAGAGCCAACACAAGTTACTAAAAATAATCTTCATTAAAATGAACAAGTTCCTTTTTTGGATCCAGTGTTATAAATAATATATCTACTAATAATATACCTAAAAATATACCTATTAATAATATACTAATAATATACCTTAAAAATATTATAATATATTCGCAGATAAGACAACGCAACTATTAAATTAGTTAGTAATATTAGTATTCAATGAATTGGTCTTACGCTGGAGAATAAGTTGATCAAGAATGATTATTATGTCCATATTTGATTAATTTTATGTCTATTAAATTTCACAAATTACTAAATAAAAGATCGTGATCAAATTAGAATTTGTCTTTATGAAAAATTATGTTATAATAAAAACATTTACATGAATTAAAAAGTTGGTCAGAACAAATTTTTTTAATCGCAAGTGTTCATCTACTGTGTTTATTGTATTATACCAAATAAAATATATATTTATTCAAACATATTAGGTATTGGAATTAATTCGTAGCGTTTTACAAGTGATGGGAAGTACTTTCATTAATGTATTAGGTGTTGGAATTAATTCGTAGCGTTTTTTAATGAAAGAATGTTATTTATTTCACATGAGCATTAAAAAATACATTAATGAAAGTACTTCCCATCACTTGTAAAACGCTACGAATTAATTCCAACACCTAATATATAAAATATGAAATTTAAAAAAAATTAAGAATTTACATGAAAAAATAACGCTACTGATATTTCGATTATAAATGTAATGAAAATCAAATCAATTGTGATAAATATAAATCAACTTAATAAATAATAAAAAATAAAGGAAAATATTAAGATTTTGCGAATATATTCACATATATTTGATCACAGATAAAATATCGTTTTGTAAATTGAAACCATGTTTCTGTTTTTGTATATGAATTATCTCTGAGATCAATCTTTTAAATAAAACAACTTTCTCTTTATCTAAAATTTGTATGTTATCGCAATCAAAATCGTATATAGATTCTAATATTTCATAATTATGGATTGAGTTGTGTTCGAATTATAATGCGGTTCTTATATTCATTGATGTTTTTAAACATTTGCTTATCTGATCAACAGAATATGATAAGTTTTTACAGCCAATCTTATATATACTACATTAGATATAGAAATGAGACAACTATACAGAATGAGACAACTTAGGGAGAGTATTCTTGTGAATTTTTATGAATGTAAATTATTATATAGTTAATGTAACAAATTTAAATATTATTTATATTTATTTTTTACACACTATTATTTATTTATTATCATGTTCTACTAATAATTAATTAATAACGCAAAAACGTAATTCTCTTGTAATTATAGAATTATGAAATAAAGACTCTCTTAATTGTATGTTGAAAATAAAAAATTAATTTCTCAATATTAAAGTTCAATTTGCGTGGAAAAAATTTGTCAATGATGAAGAATATTTTTTATTCAGAATATTCTTCATCATTAACAAATTTTTATTCAGCGTTAAATTATTTTAAAAACAGAATTTTAGAATATTTTTTTAGTGATATAAAAAAATAATTTATATTATATTTAGTTAAAGAAATGAAAAGCGAATATATAAGAATAAAAATGTGATTGTTATAGAACGTTTTATTATTTTCTTTTACATTTTTATGTCAGAAATTTTTGAACTTTACTATGAAGGAATATTCTTTATATGTATATTCTAAATTATTAATTTAGCTAAATTTTAAATATTTTCAGATATTAAATATGACTATTAAAGATTAATTAATAATAATTAAATGAATATATTAAATTAAAATTCTCTTACGAAATTGCAATAATTAGAAATTTATTACTTGAAGGATCTTACATATTTTTAATTTTTTGTTAAATTTACTTAGAAAATACATATTTTTTCATATAGTATTTTAGTAAATAAACTATTCACAATATACCAACAAATTAGCAACAAATTCAATCAGTAATTACTGACAAATTGACTATTAAGGTTATATTCTGTCAATTCTGTTGCAATATTCGAATCTGTGTAGATTAGCAATAGAAATCGAAACCGAGTAGATATCTGTCAATTGCAGATTTTGCTCTATTTCTGCCGTTAAACTACATCAAATTCTGTTTGATTTCTGCCAGCAATTGACAAACTTTGCTGTATTTCTGTCGATAATACTATGTTAAATTCTATACACAATTGTCACTTTTCGATTAGCGTTCTATTAACGACTCTTTTGCCGAAGATTCTGTCCTATCGGAGATCGACAGCTAATACCAAAATTGTTGAAATAAAGTCTGTTTTCTGTGACTGAACTAGTGTACACTTTATCTACTTAAAGTGATATATAGGTATATGTTTGATTTGTCGAAAGCGAGAAAGAGAGTTTTAGTGCAGTCTAGTGCAGGAACAGAAAACAAACCAATTGAAACTTTCTTGTAGTGCGTTTAAAAGAAAAAAACATTAGATTTGGCTCTTCTGTTAGAGGCTATTATAGCTTTGCCGAAAGTTAAGTGTCATTATTAAAATTTGCACTATTTTCTAATACGTTTTCTAAAAAAGTCATCAGATCTAATTCCGAGAGAACTTTCAAAAGACCGGAGGAAAATTAGATGTAGATAAAAGTATTTAATTTAACACAAAGATTGTGCTTAATTAATTTAACGATTTTTTAAGGCTTATAAAGAATATTTTATATCTCGTGCGAGTAAAAACTAAAAACTATACACATACCACTATAGGATGCATCGTTTGTGACTATCTTAACCATTTCGGCAACTTAAAAAGTTTTTTTTTATAATAATATATAAAAAAAGATACTATTTATTTTATTATTAAAAAAAGCGAACGTATAATGAAAAAGATAAATAATTCCATTTTACAATATTTTTGGCCACCTAGTATTTCTATTGTGGATAGAACTATAGTTCATATAGAATGCCAATTTTGATCATTTGAAAGATTTAGCATTATAACAAATTTTGTTCAAAATAAAACTCTTTATATTTATATATTTATATCAATTGTTAACGCACGAAGTACAGCGCAGATTTGTATTATCTTAATTTTATAAAATTTCATCAATAGAATTCATTTTAAAAGGAACTTAACTTGTATGCGTCTCATTTCTAGTGTAGTCCACACGAGTATATGTATACTGTTATCATTAAAAAATATATTAAATATATTAAATATATAAATATATTAAATTCCACTTATCGCGTTTCGGGAATTCTTATAATTTTTTCTACTAAATCTGTGTCCTGAGTATATTCCGTAGAAAATCATTTTTTTACAATGTAAAAAAAGAAACGCGAGCGATTGTTGAGCCAACCTTAAATTAGAAAAACTTAATAAATGACGAAGGTGGCCAAAATGGGCGCAATTAGTGACACAAACGGTCACCCTACTGTATGTAAAGCGACAATCGTCTACATCGTATACAAAGAATACTAAGGAAATAATATATGTAACTATAGTATTTTCGTACGCGATATTCTTTGAGAATATAAGCTCCTAATATTGTTTTACATCATGGATACCTATACAGCTGTCATATTTGCTGTCATTTTTTTATTACAATACAGTGGTCAGTGCAACATTATTGTGATGATATAAATATTATTGTGATATTATATCTGTTTCTGTTAAAGGTCACATATGTTCCGATATACATAATACTCTATTATCCTATACCAATATTAAAAATGTGAATTATAGATTTTTAGATTGCTGATAATATATATCGGAATCGTAATCAAAAGAATACGCATCGAAATTAATATTATTATTAATTTTAAACAATATTTTACATCTTATTATTATGGTATAATTTGTTTTTAATTATTCCAAAAACTCTGAATGCATTTTTTGTAACTTTTATAATCTCAAAGACTAGTTAGATTCTTCCAAGACTTTTATCTCATTAGGTATTTATTATATTAAATTATATGTTGTAGCATTTTGTTTATTTAAGATTGTTTCTAATTATTCTATTATATTATCTATTATATTATATTATCTTCGTATGCAATATCAATAATAAGGCCCTTGTGTGGGATTGTATTCTCGAAAAATATTGCATACGAAAATGTATGAAAATACTATAATATATGTTACGTACATTATATATTTCTCTAATGCTTTTGTATGCGATATTTTTCAAAAATAAGGCCCCCGTACTCTTGTATTCTTATATTTTTATACTGAACTCACCAATATCAGTGTTGCTGTACAAAGAACAAATCAATTGATAACTGCAATTTTTTTTTTCAAGAACGTCAAACAGACGCAAGGCTCCAAGTCTGATTTATGAGGACACGCCCCCCTCGTTCAAGAGTCATTTCGTCGATGACATCGAGGGGCTGCATAGTCGACGTTAACACCCCAGGTTTATCGTAACAAGACCGGTAACATAATGACCGAGAGAGATTCGGAGGCGACTGGCTACCCGAACGGCCATTATGCTTCCCATTCGGCGTTACTGCAGCCTCCCTTATTTGGGGGAATGTGTCGCGGGGTGTTGCGGACGTGCGGGGACGTGCGAACTGCGTGTGTTACTTCGAGCGTGAGAGGTGAGGTGTCGAGGCGAGA